TAATTCATTATTCTTGGGTTTTTTTTGGTTTTCTGCTGTGCCTTTGACTGTTGAGGAAATTTATGGTGAAAAGGAAAGGACTTGAAGGAGAAGGGAGACACACGGGAGTTGTCTCTTTGTTGAGGTGAAAACTCCATTTTCTCATTCATGTTCTGCTATTAAATAGCAGACATATCTCAATACATCAACAGTAATTTTCATACTTATCTCATACATTTAATGCAAGATTACATTAAAAGACACTTTCTTTCCATTTGCTGCCTCTTGTGCAGCTTTGACACCACAGCTCCAACATTGAGCCTACCATCCTAGATATCTTTTGTGAGAAAGAATAAATTGGTAGGGAACAGGCGCTGAAATTGTTACCGTCATGATCAGTGATCATTCTCGTATGGTTAAATTTCCATTTTGATCTCTAAATTATTGTATAAACCCTTGATTTGGTTCTTAAACTAAAAAATTTTCTGATTTAATCCCTAAATTATTGTACAAACCCCCAATTTGGTCCCACTGTTTATAATTGGACCTAAGTTGGTCCTTGAACTATAGTACAGACCCCCAATTTGGTCTTTACTGTTTATAATTATGCCCCAATATAGTCCATGAGCTATTATTTAACAGAATGACCAAGTTGGGGCTAAATTGGTAAACAGTAGAGACCAAATTGAGGATCTGTATAATAGTTTAGGGACTAAATTGAGGATCCGTACAATAGTTTAGGGACCAACTCAAGGTCCGTACAATAGTTTAAGGACCAAACTAGGGATTTCTTTAGTTCAGGGACCAAATCGAGGGTCCGTACAATAGTTCAAGGACCAAAATAGGGGTTTAACCTTCTCGTATTCATTTTGTGAAACCTTCAATCGATTGTTGGCATGAGGGATTGGTTAGAAGTTTTTGCTCCGGTACTTAAATTCTGACTGAATTTCTTTATGAGACCGGAAAAGTTTTAGTCTCTGGAGTTGTAATAGGCTCATAGATGTAGATAGATAGGTGTGCAGATCATGGATGTACATATGGCTATGTGCTTTCTGGTTTCAGCTAGTTTGCGTGCCTCGATCAGTCATTGATAAGCTAAGGAATGGCTAATTAAACACTTTGTATTTTGACTAGAATGCTTGTGTAACTGGCTCTAAGCCACTGACTGAAAGATGGAATTACTTGAAAATGGAAAACTTGGTCCCCACTAGTATAAGTTATATTTGGTAATACTTCTACAGTAATGAAAGCACTCTTGTACTTGTTTGCCTTTTACTAGTTAGGGAAGGCAGACAGTGGCTTTTATGAGACTCTTACCTTGATGATTGTTTTAAATTAGTAAGCTCTCATTTTCTTTGCTTGCATGTGTTTTTCATTTGAGATGTGAATTTGGACAATGTTAACAACTAACTTTGCCTTCATCGTTGGTCATTCTTTTACTTATGTGATTTTAGGCAAATTTAGGTATAAAAGCTCTGTTATTATTGGAAAACTATACTGACCATTCAAATCAGGATATTTTTACGTTATGGAATGCAAGATTGTCTCTTACCGGACAATTTGGACTTCATGATCTTTAATCATGGTGCCAAAGTCTTGCTTTCTGAAATTGATATGAAGCTGAAGCATTGAAATTAAAGAATCTTTGTAGGCCTAATTTATCCATTGATACGTGGCGAGTGGAACCCCTGGAAGCAGTATATGTGATTATTTAATGCTTGTTATGTGAGTTGGAAAAGTTTTGCATGTGCTGGTTACAAGGTTTTGGAGAAGCACTCTGATGCATGGACAGCGCGTAAACTACTTAAGCTTTGGTGTGATTTTGCTAAGCATATCCGGATAAATTCTGATAAATTTATTAGACGATGTTAAGCTGTGTGATAAATTCCTCAAGCTATGATACAGATTTGGGTGCTCAGTTGTGTGTTACAGATTGGTGGGTACTATAGCAGAGTGATAGCTATGACCGAGATCCAAATTATATACTTGAAGTACTTGGGAAAGAGAACAGAAACGACATAATTTCTCATGACAATTTTGCTTGTACAATAGAGGATCATTGCATGATTTTTACTTTGAGATTCTATACCTTTGTCCTTAATGGAAAGTCACTTAAGATGGTTATTTAGCATAATCTTTAATTTGATTATCTTTTTTATATGACTAACATGTAACATGTTTTATTTTTTGATATTAAGATATAAGTATTTATCTATTAAAATTGTTAATTACTTAGTATCTATGTTTTGTAAATATATAAAACTTTTCAATCTATTTATAATTATTAAAGTTAAAAAATAATTAACTTTACAATGGATAGAAGTTCTATAAATATGAGAAAAAAAAATCATGATGTTGGTTCTTTTTAAAAAAACATCTTTCTCAATTATTTTAGTATTACATTAAATTCAAAGAATCCTTTTAAAAAAATTTATGGAACAAATTTAAACTCTAAAGATGCTTGTACAAAAAATTTAACCAAATACATTCACCTTCTCATAAATAGGGAATTTTTGAAGAGATTCTTGTAAACAAGACTTCGAAATCTAATTCTCATAACAAAACTCTAAATAAAAACTTCAGCCATGCTAAACAAGTTCTAAATGGTACCTAACACAGACGCGTATTCTCATAAAGTGTAACCTCCATACGCGTATTCTGTTGGCCGTGCGGGCTAAATTAATCCATGAACTTGGCTGGCGAAGATAAATTCTCTGAAATGATTAACTTCTCACATAAAGCACTAACCTGCGCTTTCATTACCCTATTTTCGTGCTTCAACTGCACACTCTCTTCTATAAGTTGCAAGCTCGGATTGTCCATACCCATACTCTGCCTCAACCAATAATTTTCATTTTGCAGCTTCTGGTTTTCTTCTCTGAGACTGAGATCAGAATCATCCTACAAGAACACAATCAATAAAACTGGTAAAGATATCAATGCCAAAGTTAATTAGTGGTGGTGATAAACCAACAGCTAATATAAGTCGCATCTTCAAAATCTTTAGCTGAGGGATAATGATATGGGGGACGATTTTTGTGAGATGAAATTGAGGGACCATCAACGTGGCTTGCCAAGTAAACAGACATATGGCACACTTGCCACGTAGACTTACACACGTGTCACTTTATTTTCGGGGGATAACGATTTGTGAAAGGAGTTTAAGTTATTCCTAATTCTAACTTTATTTTTTAGGCAAAAGATCTTGAATTCCTTCAAAAATCCTCACCTCACTACAAGAAAAATGATTTTTAGTGATAAAAATTTATGATGAAATTTGAAATTATCACTATAACTTATCATAATTGTGACAGATCTAAAAAATTAGTCATAGATGCATACATATTTAATGATGAACAAAAAAATTCATCATAAAAAATATATTTCGTCACCGAAAAATGTT